CAGTGGCCTCAGAGCAGAGGCGGAGCTGGCCAGCACAGCCGATCCCCAGCCAGCCCGCAAATTTGTGAGGATAAATGCTTACTGTTGCGTGCCACTGTGATTTTATAACTATTTATTATGTGATATTTGAGTAGTGATAGCTAACCGATCCACCTGACCAGATATGCTCTTTCTGTATCTGAACCCCTGCGGTATTTTCAGTGCCTGTTTTAGGGTATGCATCACTTCCACCCTCACTTAGGTTTAGGTTTGGCTGTGAACACAGAGACCCAAAGAAACAGTGGTTTAAATAAGATAGGAGTTTATTTCTCTCTCATACGAAGGATGTGAAGTGGATAAACTGTCCACGGCAGCCATGGGTGGTGAGCTGGAGCCGTCTGTGGTCCCGAGCAGTCATGCAGCGGAGCAGAAACCATCCGAGCGGGTGAGAGGGAGCTGACACTCAGCCCGAGCTCCTGGCCTAGGGCTGTGAGGAATATGAGGAGGAAGCACCATTTTCTAACTTGCCCCACCAGAGGAAATACCTTTTTGTGTGCCTGAAGAGTGTGAAGACGCATACCAGTTGTCTTTTTCTGTCTAATTTTTTGGAAAATTTCAAATATAAATTGTATTCATCAGAGTTCTCCAGAGAAACAGGACCAATGGGATATCTATAGATATGTAGAAGGAGATTTGTTATGAGGAATTGGCTCTCACTGTTATGGAGACTGAGAAGTCTCACTACTCGCCGTCTGCGAGCTGGAGAACCAGGAAAGTTGGTGGTGGAGTTCCAGTCCAGACCTGAAGGCCTGAGAACCAGGGAGCTAAGTGTAGGTCCTAGTCTGAGTCTTAAGGCCTGAGAACCGGAAGCACCAATGTCCAAGGGCAGGAGAAGATAGGTCCCAGCTCAAGCAAAGAGAGCAAATTCCCCCTTCCTCCGCCTTTTGTTCTATTCAGGCCCTTAGTGGATTGGACGATGCCCACTCACATTGGCGGGTGCAATCTTCTTTACTCAGTCTACCTATTCAAATGCTAATCTCTTCCAGAAACACCCTCACAGACACACCAGAAGTAACGTTTTACCAGCTCTCTGGGCATCCCTTAGCCCACTCATGTTGACACATGAAATTAACCATCACATAAACAAGGTAGAGAGAATAATATAATGAAACCTCATGTATCTGTCATTCAATTTCAACAATTATCAACTCAATGCCAATCTAGTTTCACCTATACTCCTCCCCACTAGGAGAGGTAAGAACCTTCCAGACATCATTTACTATCATCTGTTAGGTGTCTGTAAATATAAGGATACTTTGTATAAACATGACCACAATACCATTATCCCATGTAAAAAAACCAATTCCTTAATATCGTTAATATCCAGTCACTGTTTGCATTTCCCCAATTATTTTTATAGCTCATTTGTTCTAATCGTGTTTCACAGAGGTCTAAATGTTGCATTTGATATATTCCTTATGTCTCTATAGGTTCCTCTTCCATCTCCTTTTTTCCCCTTATAATTTATTTTTTGAAGAAAATGGTTGGTTTGTCCTGTAGATTTCTCTACCTTATAGGGTCATGTTTCTCCATTTGGGATCATGAATTATCAATTACTGATAAGACTTTCACCCTTCATTTTTTATATTTCTTTCAGAGTCTTACATTCTAAGCCTGCAAACACGCTCTAGGTATTGGAGATTTTAGCGGGGTGTGGGAAGACCACATAAAGAAAAAACTACAATGAAGGGAATATTTCTACAAATCTTTCTATTCTTAGGAATCTGCTTTATTGAACTTCTACAGACTTTAACTAATGGGAGGAGGAGTGGAAAACAGTCATCCCAGCGTGATGAAAAAAATGGGAAGTAGAACCAGTGCTAGGCTGTGTGCAGAAAATAATGGATTCTAGTTCTAACTCAGCTAGGAATGGTTGTGACCTTGTTCTTAACCCCATTTCTGAGCCTCAGTTTCCTTATTTGTAAAATAAGGAGATGGGCAAGACAATAATCAAGTTTCATCCTTGGAGACACCACTGTTATTTATGCTTCTAGAATCCTATATTCTTATTATTCTATATTCTATATTATTTACAGACTCCATAGTAATCTTCTCATTTGATCCCCACAATAAACCTTTAAGGCAGGTCTGACAGTGGTTATTATTACCCCATTAGACAGATGGGTGCATTGAGACTGAGGAATGGTAGGTTTTTCCCAAGGTTTCATTCAAAATGAAACTTCTCCTCCTAATCCACAATAATTCCTTCTCAGCAGGAGGCACGAGCCTGTGCGTGAATGTTGGTGTATTGGTGAATGTGGGCATCTGTCTGCTATGTTTCTCTGATGTGTGAATCTGAAGAGTGCGGTTAGTAGTGGGCTCACGATTTCCCTAGGTTTAGCGCTGCGCTGTTCCTTGATGACTGCTTTTGTCTGATGGATGTTCCACGTTATGGCATAATTTACACTAAATGCATTAACAAGGCAATTGCGAATAGTAACAGGAGGGCAAGAGGTAGTGGGCAAGGAGAGATGGACAAGTAAAGGGGAAAGAACTAAGAGCTGAATAGCTAGGCACTGTTCTATGTACTCTACCAGTACTAACTTACTTTGTCCTTGCATTAATCCTATGAGGAAGGTTGCTATAATCATGCCCATGTTATAGGTATTGAAACCAAGGCCTAGAAAGATTAAAGAACTTGTCCAAGCTATTAAGTAGCAGAGCCAGAATGTGAAGCCAGGCAATCTGATTTCAGAGCTTGTACCCTAACCACTCTGCTGCCACGGTCAGAATGGGTAGTCATAAGCTTTTGTGAGCTGCGCTGGTATAAAGTAAGATAAAAAACAGAATGTCCACGCAAAGCCAGCAAGATTGCAGAGGAATAGGCACACCATATATTGCTGGTAGCATCGACAATGAGTTTAATCTTTTTATAAAGCAATATGTGGCAAGAGCCATAAAGTTTCCATACTTGTCAATGTAAGAATGCCAGTCCTAGAAGTTTATTCTAAGCTTATAGTTCAACAAAAGCAACAAGCTACAGGCATGAAGAAATTCATTGTGTGATCAGCAATAACAGAAAACTGGAAGCAAATTAAATGCCCAAGAATAGAGTGTGATTAAGTAATTTCATAGTACATTCGCTTGTTGGAATACTATGAAAACATTTAAGATGAAAATTACAAAGATAATTATGTAGAAGGACAGGAAAATGTTTCTGATAAAATGTTAAGTTAAAAAGCAGGATAAAAAATATGTATATTATGACGATAGAACCGATATATAGGCATATTGTCAAAGCCTGAAATAGAACAGGAAAAAATTCCAGTGGTCAGGTGTTTGTTAAGGTCTTTTCATTTCTTCAGATTTTTATTACTGGTAGCATTATATTTGACAGATAACAGAAAAGAAAAGAGCTGGTGGCAGGAGTGGGTTGAAATGTTGTCTAGAGTGAGAGTGGGGGCTTTGGGGAGGCTGCAAGAGTGGGGGTCTCAGGAGGAGGCTCTGCATCACCTCCCTGAGCCTGGACACAACACAACATGCATTCAACGAATGGTCCTCTTTTTCCTTATCTCTAAAATGGGGGCATTTGGGTTGAATTAGATTTCTCCCGCCTCCATACACTGTGATTTTACCAGACTCGTTACATAAAGGAGCCACTGGGTTTTGAAGACAAGTTCCAATGTAGGGAGTGGCCTCAATCTTTCCACCTGTGGATGGGCCCCCCAAGCATATTCTGGCCTCTGTGTGGACTGTGAGCCTGGTCTGAGGGTCGTGTTGGGAGTTTTCAGAGCAGGTGGGCCGAGTGTGCATGAACATGGTCTTAGCAGCCCGCCTGACAACAGGGCTGTGGGGCGAAGGCTCTTTGCTCCTATCATGCTTTACCCGGTGGGCCAGCCACTGCCCACACGTGACACCATGGCTGCACCGCCACGTGTAAATCCGAGGAGCCTTGTAGCCCTGTCATATGTGTGCCTGCCGGCTATGAAAGTGGGCGTGTCTGTGCACATGGCTGGTTGTGCTTGTGTCAGAGTGGGGAGAATGTTGGCCGTGTGGCTCTGGGTTTTCCCGGTGAGTGTGTCTCTGTACAGAATGTGTGCACATACCTCAGTGTATGAATGGCTTTCAATTCAGCAAATAATTATTGTGAGCTTTGTGCTCTGCAAAAGTAACAAAGCGGTGCGACAGGCAGGGAGTCTGCGAGTGTACATATCTGCATTGTGTGTCCTCTCTGTGTGTCTTTGGGAATGCGTTCTTGGCACGTGTCCTACGTTAACAAGGCCTTCGGTGTGTGCCTCTCTGTGTGACAGTCCTGTGTGCGGCTGCTTGCTTGCTTTCCAGCTTCACTTGTGCCCGCAGTCAGGCTCTGCACGTGCGCCAGCCTCCATGCGCACGTCCCCGAGTGACCCGTGCGCGGTGTGCAAGGACCTCCGGGTCGTGTGCACTCGGTGCGCTCATGCCTGTCTCCCCGCATGCACGAATGCACCTCCACATGTCTGGGTGCACGTCCTTCTCGGTGTGTGCAAGTTCCGTGTGCACGCCGCCCGTGTCTGTGTGCAGGGCGCTTCACGCGCGCGCGCTCCAGCCTGCGGGCGGCCAGGGACCCGCGCTGGGCTCAACTTGGCCCGGGGGGCTGACCCCTCTGCCCCCCCGCGCCCGGCCGCGGGCCACCGCGATTGGCCGCCCGCTCCTTCTCAGCCGTCACCCCTCCCTCTCCCCGCCACCCGCGCGCCCGCGGTCCCCGCTGTCCCCCGCGGTTCCGGCGAGGCCGCGCCGCGCTGCGCTCCGCTCCCATTGGCTGCGCGCGCCTTTGTGTGGCGGCAGCTGCGGCCCCAGCGCCTTTGAATGTCGAGAGGGGCCGGGAAGGGAGCCTTTCCATGGGCCATC